TCTCTCTCTCTCTCTCTCTCTCTCTCTCTCTCTCTCTCTCTCTCTCTTTCTTGGTTTGGGTTTGTTTTCTTTAAATTCGCAGTTTCCTCCCACTGTCATCAGGTAGTAAGCTGGTCGGTGTCAAAATCCAAAATCTCCTTCAGTCCGTCCAGGTTTTCACCGGGATGACGAGGGGAGAGAGGAACAGCTTCACCTCCAGTCAGCATCAGCTGGCAGGCAGACAGAGATCGAGAGGGGGAGAGAGGGAGCGAGGAAGAGAGGGAGGGGGAAGAGAGAGGAGGGGTCTGCTGCGATAAAGATGCAGCCAGGCACTGCGCTTTGCTTTCTTCTTTTCTTGACTGATTTCTCTCCCTCTCTCTCTCTCTCTCTCTCTCTCTCCCTCGGGCAGATCGATGAGGGGTCTCTCAACACCCTCTCTTTTCTTCTTCTCTGCACTAGTAACCCATCTTGTATGTGCATTTGGGTCTGGAATGCAAACTGCTCTTTGAGTATGTGTGTGTGCGTGTGTGTGTGTGTGTGTGTGTGTGTGTGTGTGTGTATGTGTGTGTGTGTGTGTGTGTGTGTGAGAGTGCATTCTGACATTCTTATATCCAGCATGTACAATCATTGGTATGATGTTTGATCCTGATGTTTGATCCTGGTGTTTAGAGCAGAACCCAAAGAGGAACACATGCATACATGATCAGAGTAGTGGCCTACAACGTCTTACTGTAATCACATTACCTTTCACATTAGCTCTCTGTCTCCAATGAAACATTTTGGCCAAAATAGGTAATGTATAAATACAGTGAGCAAGTTGTAGGCTACACTGTGTACGGTGTGTTATATATTGGAAAAGACACTTTGCATGGAACAAGCTTATATTGACACGCCGTCCCTGCCACGTCCAAAACTGATGCTCGAGGTTCAAAGCTTAGTGCCACTGACCAAGCTGCAGTATTTGACTTTGAGTTGGGATGAGAATGTATTGGCTGGACAAGGAAACAGAAAACACACTGTATGCTTGAACTTGTCAAACAGAATGAATATTCCCGTAACACAAGTGTGATGTGACTGTTCCTTAATACACAAAAGTGGTACCTGCTACACATGAACAGTTGATGGAAACAAGCTTAAGTAACAGAAATCAGGTCCTTATTGCTGGAACAATAAATAAGTTATTAACAGCTTGCAGGAGCTACTTGTTTGTTACTTAGGCTGCTGTTGAATAGTTGCTTTGGCTTATAGGAAGGTTCCTAACTAAGTGAAATGACTCAGAGGTGTTTAAGTGGCAGCCATGACAAGAGCAGGTCTAATTCTCCAAATTCTATAAAAAAATGGTGTTTTCTCTTTACGTCTGCCTTCTTACGTCTGTCACTTTATGTATTTTTTTTGTCACATTGCTTCACCAATAAAAATAAATAAATAATATATATATAAATATTAAAAATATCATTTTATACTGTGTAAGACATATCAAGATGGGCAAACACATATAAAACCAATCTATGGTAGAATGGTCACCAACTGGCTGGGATTCTCATACTGCCCCATTATTTCAAATTCTGGAGTTTTTAAACATATTTGACATAAATCAACTTCAGATAGGTGCTTTATATTTCAATTTCTTTGCAAATCACGACCCATTTCCTTTCAAAGTGTCTTTGTGACCAGGTCTCAGATCCATTGTTATCTCACCAGATCTTCTGATCTTCTATACAGTCAGTTCTTCGGACCTAACATCAGCCAGTTTTCACTTAGGTACAGCTATGTGCAACAGCTTTCCTACTTCACTTCACAGTCGCGCCTCATTTCTGATTTAAAAAGACCAATCTTAAACAACTTCTCTTTGATGAGTACAGTACTTTATAAATGAGGTATGATACAATATATGAAAATCACAGAAATATTTCTTATTGCAATCCTTGTTTTTCTTTCTTCCTTAGTCTTTATTATCTCTAGTATTTATTATTATTTTAATGTTAGGTTGGTTCCTTATACAAGCCCTCAGTTTTTGTTTTTTTTAACTCACCAATGCATTTTCTTTGGCTATTGTATGTATCTTCTCTTTTCTTTTGTTGTATTATGTGCACAAAAACAAAGAAATAAGCAGCCTAACACCAAAACACAAGATTTTATATAAGAAGGAAGTCAGCCAAACACACACTTTATTGTACCAAAGGAACACTAAAACAAACTTTTTTTTAGAGTTTACTCTATAAAACTCCACTGAAGGTGCCTGAAAATAAGTTAACATCACATTACATTCTTTGTTTGTCACCACTTACTCACAGGACAAAGATAAATAACCAAACAAGAAAGTGAATCCGGGATGAGGTCAGCAGTGTTTTATCACTGTCACAGTAAGGTAAATGTGGTAAGTCATATGTTGTTTTCAAGACCTTAGCCGACCCAATCTGCCAAATTGCCGGTAATTAATTATTGTGTGTAGAACTAAGTGTGTGTGTGTGTGTGAGAGAGAGTCTTAAATGATTTCCTAGCTGTAACTGTGACAGTTTGATGCCAGGTCAAGCAGTAATGTCAGGACTCCTCAGGGTTCTCTGCTGGGTTCACTTTCTGGCATCAGATTAAGTCATTTGAGTCCTTCAGTTCACAAAAACAAGCAGGTTCTGGCTGAGAAAAATTGCCCCTTCGCTAAGTCCCTCCTGTTGAACGCAATCATAGTGTAGCATTTGGCTGGCTGCCACTGTCCAACAGCTATCCGGTTCTGCTCCATAGACTCTAATGCAATAGTTTCATTTTCTTTCTTTTTTTGACATGTCAGGCTGCTTTTGTGAATTTATGGTTAAATGTTGTGCCTGGGGCATAAGTAAAAGGTATTACCTTGGTCGTTACTTGGAGTAGTTTGAAAGGAGCTATACGTTTGTAAAACCTCATGTTTCTACGTAAAACACAGTGGAGCTAACATTACCGAAGTACATTAGCACACCATTACTAGTGTTCTATGTATTTTACACACGCTACTGAAGGTATACTGAATGTTTATACATACTGTTTTTACTTGTTAATGATTGTAACAATGCATAGGCAGCCCACTGCTCCCTATATACAGGGATGGGTCAAATGCACAGACAAATTTCCCCCTTACCGGGATAAATATAGTATAATAAAAATTTTAAAAAAAACTGCAATTTGCTTTAAAAGACACCAGAAAATAGTAATTCAAATGTGGATGAGATGGTAGCAGCAAGGACAAAGTTGGATTGGGTACAGATGTAAAAAGAAAAAAAAAGAAATATCGAACCTCTTTTTTTCTCCCTGAAAAGATGGCGCTTTAGTGTGGTTTATTTATTGGTGCTGTCTAAAGGCTCTAAAAGGAACCACAGAGGACTCATTAAATACAATCAACAGATGGACCTCTGCTAACCCGACCTCAAACCTTGTCCTAATGTATCTCTTATATTATCGTCTTAAATATGAATAAAGTATTTATGAATATACTGGCAGGGTATACATGTGATGTCAGCAATTGTGGAAGTGGCCATGGCAAAGACGGAACACAAACTATCAGAAAATCTGACCAATGCAACTGTAATTTAAACTGGAACAATGCAGAAAAAATCACATAAGAACAAAAGGACAGTCAACTCACAGACTTAACACTGATTAACTACAGCTGTGAACTAACCAACCACAGTTGTCATTTTAGGTGACGGGGCAATTGAGCAAGTGGAGTAAATGCAACCCCATGATTCAATTAGTGGAAGCAAAGCTGTAGTTTTATCAACACACTTTTTGTGTTTTTAAAAATAAATTGATCATCATACAGTTCCTGCAATCACATCATTTTTAAGGTTCAGCATCCGGGGCTGCAGGTTTCTGTCCTTCAGGCCCGTCAAGACTTTCTGGATAAAGTCAAATGTGGCATTAATCAGTGCAAAATGCATGACAAATGAGTCAGCCAATGTGGGGAAATCAATAACCATGTTACCCTCAAGTCCAATCGTATTCCTCTCTGGGCAGAAGAACATGGCATCTGTCGTCAATGTTTGGTTCATCTGACTGTGTCACTTGAAGACAAGAACAGAGAACAGATACCTAAACTATCTCCAGAATCTGCTTACTAAAAAATGAATCTGTTACATATCAGAAGACAGTCAAAGAGATCCATCAATAACAATTAATCACATTTAATAATTGTAATTGGTTTCAAAGGTGTCAATTAACATAAAATGTAGAATGATTCTGATGTTTATCTTCTAGGCCACAGCAGCTGTATAATTTAGCATTATACAAACAATTGCAGTCACAATAAAAAGAAAATGCCATTCATTTTGATGTAGTTGCACATTTAACTTAATGAAAACGTGTGTATTTCAGTCTACATCCTATGTGACAACAGAAAGTCAGTGAGAAATAACTACTATACATTTTTTGTCACTCATCCGAACTTCATCTGTAAAATTCAATCCTCAACTCTAATATAGCGTAATAACAAATATAGTATTTTGTGTTTTATTAACTACGTGCATTAAATATGTACTAAAGCTTATTGTGCATCATCAACATACCAGATAAAAGACTCCGTATATCAGACAGTTGCATCAGCTCCAGCCTTCAGAGAAATAAGATTGGAAAGCTAACTGGGTTGCAACACTTACATAAAAGCACTATGTAAAATATCTTCATCAAGCATTTAACACAACTCATTACAGGCATCGTGTGAACTGAACAGTGAGCAGGCAGCTACAGCATGCCTTGCTGATTCCTCAGCTGCAGAATACAATCTTTGCTGGATTCTAAACTGGTTTAAAAAGGCCAATTAATGCAATTAAACTCTGTGGCAGATTTGAAGTCCTTACTTAACTATACAAACAATAAAATAATGACCTAAACAAATGCTAATACTACACGCTCAGATTGAGAAGGGAGATAACGTACAAGTCAGGTTTGGCGACTTTGGTGTATCTCCCAACTTAACATGCTCCCAACAATGCAGTCTTCCATGCTGTTGTAACACAGGACTTATGAATTTACATCATAC